ACTATGACACCCATAGGTAAGGTGTCGTGTATACATCCACCCAAATGCTGCAACAGTAACTGCTGCTGCTTCGTGCTGCTGCAGCTAGCCAGATGCAGCGCAGGAGAAGACACAGAACGGCCCATGGAGCTGTGGCGGTCACTCAGCAGCTTCAGTCGCTCCCGAATCAAACGCACTGTATAAACAAAATAAATAAAATAAAATAAATAAATAAATAAATAAATAAAATAAAATAAATATAATAATGTATACCGTGCAGGCAAAGGAGAGAAGAGAAAAAAAAAAAGAAAAAAAAGGCGGAAGATAGGAGACGGCGGGGAGGGAGGAGACAAAAAAAAACAAAAAAAAAATAAAGAAAAAACAGAGACAGAAAAGGAGACAGAAAAGGAGACAGAAAAGAGAAGAAAAGAAATAAGAGACAAAGGAGACAGGAGACAGAAGAGAGAAGAAAAGAAAAAAAATAAAGATAAAGGAGACAAAAGAGAGAAGAGACGAGAAAGAGAGAGAAAAGGATAAAGAGGAGACACAACAGAGACAAGAAAGGAGACAGAAGAGAAAGGAGACAAAACAAACAAAAGAGAGAAGAAAGGAGACAGAACAGAGAAAAAACAAAAGAGAAGAAAGAAGAGACAAAAGAAAAAGGAGAAAGGAGACAAAAGAAAAAGGAGACAAAAGAAAAAGGAGACAAAAGAAAAAGGAGACAAAAGAAAAAGGAGACAAAAGAAAAAGGAGACAGAAGAAAAAGGAGACAAAAGAAAAAGGAGACAGAAGGAAAAGGAGAAAGGAGACAAAAGAAAAAGGAGACAAAAAAAAAGGAGAAAGGAGACAAAAGAAAAAGGAGACAAAAGAAAAAGGAGACAAAAGAAAAAGGAGACAGAAGGAAAAGGAGAAAGGAGACAAAAGAAAAAGGAGACAAAAAAAAAGGAGAAAGGAGACAAAAGAAAAAGGAGACAAAAGAAAAAGGAGACAGTTGGGGTGTACGTACACTGCGAGGGAGCGGCGGGGCGAACTCTAATCAAATTGTTGAAATGGCCGCTTCCATCCTAAAAAAAAATAAAAATAAAGATAAAAATAAAAATAAATATATAAATATGTATAAATAACAAAGCTGCAGCAGCAGCAGCAGCAGTAGCAGCAAATGTGTGCAGGCACAGAGACAGGAGACAAAAGGAGACAGAAGAAAACAAAAACAGAGAAGAGACAAAAACAAAAGGAGACAAAAACAAAAGGAGACAGTACAAAACAAACAAAATAAAAAAAGAGACAAAAAGAGAGACAAAGAGAGACAAACGGAGGTTTAAAGTAAACACAAACAAATACAAAAAAAACAGACAGAAAGAGACAAAAAGAGACAA